AGTCCTTGTCCTTAAGTGTATTTCAGTTTGCGTTTTGATAGCAGTTTAGAAATGTTATCGCCTGTTTTGTCACAGACATAATTCACATCTTTCTTCAGGCACTGTAAACAAGAGAAATGGTTTAATGGCTCCATAAAAGGCACTCTGTGCTGATAGCTGAGATTAGACCCTTTAGTAATGGATTTTTGTGTGTTGGGGGGAGGGGAGGGCTTGGCAGAGGTAAATGTACTGGAAAAGAATCTTGGAGAGACTGATGTATCTGAAGTGCCTGCTGCATTTCTGTGTGTATTGGGAGATAGATTTAAAGTGTTACAGTATTGGCTTTATCAGCACAGGGGCCTTCTCTTCTTGCCTTTGAAATTTTACCAAGTACTAAGCTGAGTCACCTCAATCAGTCTAGCACCTGGTGTTGTGATGGTATTAAATATTTTTTACATCTTCTGCCTTTCGTCTTGCTGTTACAAAGGTCAAATCCCCTCTATTCGAGTGTGTCATAGATATCTGTCTACATTGCATATTAACAGTTTTGCTTAAATTGATCCTAAACATTTATCAGGATTACATAAAAAAAAAATTATTATTAAATCAGGTTTAGAGGGTGATTTGAGAGCATAAATGTGAAAAGCTGTTCAGAGCATGCAGCAGAAATGTTCAGGGCATGACTTACTATGATTCCCCATTACGTCCTTTTCTCTGCAGGTACACAGAGCCCTTGAACTTAGTATATGTGAATGTAGTATTACTTAAGAGACACTGGAGTTCACTAGCACAAGCAAGGGTGCTGCTGTCAGTTGATTTTATACCATATAGTAAATGTTTTTTTCCCCTACAAGTGCTGATAATAAGACATCTTTGTCTTTTTGGTCAGTGGAGTCACAATTGCCTATGTTAGCCAATTTCATTGAATTATCAGTAATACTTAAAAATGTTTAAATCGGTTTTTCAAAAAATAAAATACTATTTTGTGTTGTGGGCAGGAAGTTTGAAAATTACAAAATAACTTTTTACTCAAAGGAGAAATGATCTGCAATTTCACATAAAATATTCCTCATTTCTTCTTTGTCTTGAATAACCATCTGTTGAAAAATATTTTAAACAATTGCTTTTGTATTTGATGCAGTGCATTTCTGGTTCATTCTTGAAATAAGTGATTCAGTTGTATCTGTACGGATGTGGTACTTTCCCTGTTTTTCTGGCTACGGAGTATACAAATAATTCTCCTCTAAGACTGTTTGGATCTTAAACTGGGTATTATTATGAAGAAAATGTTTGGGGATTAGGCTGTTGACAGATAACGAAGGAGAACAGCACTTCAAAATTTGGGGGTAGCAGATTTAACTTTGTGTTTGCATGTTCTGTGCTAGTTTACTTCATGGTTTATTGTTTTGTATAAAATACAGGTCTGTAGAAGAGCACATTATAAATAACGTACAAGCCCTCTTACTCTGCAGAAACAGATATATTTATGCACAGGAAATGTGCATACAGTAATGTATTATACCTTCATCAATTTGCTGCAGATGGTAGCAGTCGTCCTGCTTGCCTCTTATCTGCATGTTGACTTCTGAGGAGCTCTAGACAGGGTCTGCAAATTGAGTTCATTCTGATACCGATAAGCCTGACTTTCTACAGTAGTTGAGTCGTTGAAGCCATCCATCTATATACACGTTGTAAGATTGTTTACCTTTCAAGTTCGAAGGTAGTTATCTCTAAGTAATCACTCGGGATGAAATCTTGGCCCTTGGTCACTTCTTAATAAGATCGTTATTAAGGCAGAGTGCCCATTGCTTTGATAGGGTTCAGACTCCATTCTGGGGTTAAGTAAAATGAGTTTGCTATCAGGAAGAAAGATGTGTTGAAGAGCTAGTTGTTTGAAATGTCATTTTGTTAATTTGGATGTGTTGGTAGCTTGGTATGCTGCACTAAAATTAGATTTTACAAATAAGCAACTTGCTCTCCTCAAAAGAAAAAGGATTGAAAACGTAATATATATAATCCAGTTTAGCAAAGCAGTGTATGTTTAAAATCTATTTGAATAAGTGCACTGTAAAATGCGTGTCACACAAAAAGGAAGAGTGACAGGTAGAGGGTTTTAGTGATGATACAATAACTGTTTAGAATGGTAGAAGTTTTGTTGTTAGAATAAATCTGTCATCTTCAGCCACAATTAATATTTGGTTTGAAAGGTCAAGTAGCCTTCAGGAAAGTTGTTGTGCCCCCCCCCCCCAATATAGTAAGTATTTTTGTCAAGTTGTTTGTTTTCCGTTCTGCCTTTAAAAGTGTACACTTAAGGAGTTACAGATGAAGCTTAGCCTGGTGATTGTGTCAGGGGACTGCCTGAGGAAGACTTTAAATTTTACAGCTACATTATCTTTCTGGCCATAGTTAAGATAAAGATCTAATATAGAATCACTTTGGACTGTAATACTTTCCCTAAATGAAATGAAGGCGTTAACCTACTTGATTTGATACACTTGTGAAGCTGTGAGGTAAACTTTAATTAAAACTACAGCACAGATGCCTTCCAGCACTGTGCCCTGTACCTTGCTAGGGCTGTACAGTAAGCAAAATAAAATGTACCTCACAGTGGAGGCAGCAGGCTGGAGCCGTGTTCAGTGAAAGTAATTTAATTAGTGTTGATCATGACTCCAGATGATGGTGATTTGATAAGGAATAATTTAGTACTTAACAGCCTTTTACATGCACCAACTCCATGTGGGAAGGTAAAGCAAATTGCACAAAATGAATGTGCTGCTTTCGCTTGTGCCTGTGCCAGTGAGCTGGAAAACTGCCTGTTAGCAGACGTTCAGGCTCTCAGTGCTGTGATGAAATACCAAGCAAGTTCTCTGCACAGGGATGTGGTGTGGGAGTCTCTGTACTCCCGTTATTTAAAAATAAATAAGAGAAGTAATTTTTCATAACAGATTAGCTCTGAGGAAGTAGCAAAGTTAAAATTAAAAAATAAAAAAAAATAGAGCAGCATGTGGCCTTTGTGTGAATATGTGATACTGGCTTGAAGAAAGAGTTGTGTTGCAGTTGTGTTTGAATTCCCTGATTCTAGTCAGAGATTGCTTACCTTTGCATCGGAGCCACTGTCCTGGAGTTGTGGGGCCCATCATACACATTAAATGTGTGCATTATCTGACCAAGACAGGCAAGGAGAGTCAGCAGTAAAAGTTCACTAGCAAAAAACCTGAAACAAACTCCTGGATGTCAGCCTGCTTTGCGATTTAACAGTGGAAAGCTGACTGGGTTGCATTTTACTGTATTATTAGATTTGAGAACCTTTATTCAAGAAGTCCATATGTTTTTTTAGTTCAGACAGTTTGTTCAGTAAGAGTTCTTGTCATGTTCATCAGTTTTCATCTCTGTTTCTTAAGTTACTGTGCTGTGCATATGTATTTGTGTACCTGTTTTATGGTCTGCTTTTCCTTTGTAATCTCTTCAGATAACTGACTGTTGTTATTCTCCAAATATAGTAGCTGGATAGCAATTTTGGAAACAATTCTTGTGAGTTTTGTGAAATACATGGCAAAATAACAGTCTCAGCTGAAAGGCAATAGTTGAAGCTTTCATGTAACAGGGTGTGAGGGGACCCGTTTGTGAAAGAGTTCTCTGAATGTTATACAACCATGGGAAAATGCATGGTGAGAATCTGGAATCCAGATCCTACAGATACTTATAAATCAGAGTTTATTGTTTTTGATGCTCACTTCTTGGACAGCATTTCATTTTCCTCCCTTTCCCCACTGAACGTGTGTGTGTGTGTGTGCTGGTGCCTTAGTATCAGAAAATACATAGTATGTTAAGAAATTGTTTTTCCTAAGTTGAGGTGCAAGGGAAGGGGCAAAGTGCTACTGGATGGCACATAAAAATGACCTGACTTGATACTGAGGTTCTCCCACCGGGACTGCTGCATGTAGATGGATTTCCGTGGTGGCACAAGTGTCTGTGTCAGGCTGGAGCATGATGTTCAAATTGTGGTGTTTTGATGATAACATAAAAAATCAGTGATAAAATCGATCTTGAAACTCCAGGCTTCTCGTGTTCAAAAATGTATTTACAACCTCATTTTATTTAAAACTTGAAGGGTGTGTTTTCAAGCTGTTACTTACCTGTCTTTTAGTCCTTTGTCCTCCTAGACACTTCCTTCAGATTTGTCTGTGTCAGCTGAACCTTGAATTTTCTTCTGCTTTAATTTTGATTAAGTTTGGATATGAAACAAGGAAAGTTGGATGGTTTAAACTAGTATGCTGGTTAACCTTATCTTTACCTTTGGCCTTGTGCTTCCAATTAATGCTGCATTTCTGTCACACTCCTGTTCTTTTTACCTTTTAAAAAAGTATGAGCATTTTTTTTCTCAGTTTGTGTCTATATCACATTTACAATTGGTGAGGCCAGGATTTTATCTTGCATATTTTTGAGAAAAATTACTGAAACCATTTATTGTGTGTTTATCCACCTTTATAACTAAAGGTGGATATAATAATCTATTTTATTAAGTTTCACTGCAAATTTTCATGTATTCTGTGGGACAAAAAGATTACCATCGTACATTTGAGGCTGATATATTAGATATTTATTTTATAAGAATTTGTGTGTCTCTCTTTGAAGTGAACTATTACTGCATTTATAGCTAAAAGCTACCTCACTAATATTCCTTAGAAACATTTGGTTCCTGGGAAGTATTTTGCATCTGACAACATTTACAGTAGTTAAGCCAAATGTGAGTGGGCTGTTATTTTCCTGCTAATGAGATGGGATCCTGGCCATCATTCTATTAAACAATAAAAGTGCTAATAGCCAACGTGAAGGATCTCTAGTGTCTATTTTTCAGTTGACACCCGAAGAAATATTTGAAATGTGTACTTCCTATATTGTTTTTAGTATTACAATGGTTTAATTAATCATGTGCTTAATTAACAGTGTCTAGCTTACTTGAGAAAGCTAATTGTTAATATTGTACGTGGGTTTTAATTACATTTTCTTTCTCTTTCCAGTGGCTTTTCATGGTCTCCCTGTGAAAATCAAGAAGGAACCCCATAGCCCATGTTCAGAACTTGGCTCTGCTTGCAGTCAAGAGCAGCCTTTCAAGTTCAGTTATGGGGAAAAGTGCCTGTACAATGTCAGGTAAAGCAATTGAGCATGTTTGCAGTGAGAAGTGCTGATTTTAATGAGGACTGACTAAAGAGTAATAAAATTATAATAGAGATCTTATAGAAGTTACCTCTTCAGCAGATAACAGGCTGATGAGATAATGCATTTAGCTGATGAACACTGATAGAATTGTTTACAGTTGTATCAAACACTTACATAACCATTTTAAAGCGGTGTTTTTCATGAAAATGCATGTTCTCCATTCCTTCACCATGGGAGATAGCCAGAGTTAAAAAACCCCAGGGTTCAAGCATGAAATAGAAGGAAGCAGTGTCTTGTTTTCTGCTAGTTATGATGAAAGTACTTTCAAAATGCAATGCACATATTAGGAAAGAGAGAGAGATCTGTGTAACAGGCAAGAGAATGTCAGGTCCGAGCAACACATTAGATAAATTGACAAGTTTTGCAGATGTTACGTGTGTATTCATGGGTGAATACAATTTAAAGTAGCATTTAATTAGGCTCTACATCTTTGTTACGTATTTACAAGTAAACTGTTTTCTTTCATAGGGAAAAATAATAAAAGCTTTATTTATTTGTGGGTGGTGGAGGGGTTTGATACCACTGCATTCTTGATTGACTTTCTTTTGGTTTCCAGATACATATCACTCCTTCCTCTAGTGTCAGCAGTCAATGGTTTCTTATTGACATTCCAGTGTATTTTAGAATCTTTAGTCTAGCTTGTGAGTTTTTATTCTCATTAATGAACTTCCAAGACTGTTAGCACATTTCACTTTTTTAAGCTTGAAAGGGGAAAAAAACCAAAACAAACAAAAACTGGCACCTTTGCCCATCATAGAGGAGTGATTTTGATTTTAAAAATCAAATACATACATGGGCGGATTTGATGGGTGCTAGAGGACCTGACACAAAAATATGCAAGTTTGTGCTTATATCTACCCAAGGTCTGCATTATTCTTGTTTAGAAAGAGGGATGATCAAAGTGTGCCCAAGTCCTTTCCTGATATGGGACACCTTTGGAAATAGCATCTCTGTATTTGTAGGACCAGCAGTTTATTTTTGGGAGAGAGGAGCGAAAAGACCAAACCTGTTGGAGAGGCTGACATCCTAGTATGGGTAGCTAAGTCAACATACCATTGTTTTTCTGGGTCAGATCCCTTCCTTCTAGCTGTATCATTTTACTGTCTCATTTTGTGGTTTGTGCAAGGCCTAAAAAAAGAATCTTGACAGGCATTGCTGGCTCTTTGTGCTCTAGTCCAGGTGCTTCTACTTTTATGTATTTTGTATATCTGCTGTTAAAATGTTACCATTAAGACTGCATCCTTTAAAACTTCATTTCTGTGCCCCAGAGAAGAAAATGCTGTGTTGAACCATTCGCCTCTGACATGTTTTTTTCTGTGCTCTTTGCAATGTAAAGTAGAGAATTCCTCTGCCCCAAGCTGGTTAAGGAAATAACTATAATAAAAAGCTTATAAATGTGACAGTTGTTTTGGTTTTTTTGGTGGTTTTTTTGTTTTGTTTTGTTTTGTTTTGTTTGTTTGTTTGTTTTTTTCCTGGATGTAGATGCTACTTTTTTTTTTTTTTTTTTCCCGAAGGAAAATAACCTATCCTTCTTTCTTCTTGTCTTACTGATAGTGCCTATGATCAGAAGCCACAAGTGGGAATGAGGCCCTCCAACCCACCAACGCCATCCAGCACTCCTGTGTCACCACTGCATCATGCTTCCCCAAACACAGCTCAGACTCCTAAACCTGACCGGGTTTTCCCTACCCATCTCCCTCCATCCCAGTCCATTCAAGATAACAGCTTCCCCATGGACCACAGGTAAAACATAAAACATGAGAGGGACCCATGCAGAAGGCATTTCAGTTGTAGTTGCAAGTCTCTCATAATAGTGTAGCGCTGGGTTCCTGCCCACAACTATTCCCTTTTGCATTAGGAGACCAAGGTGAAAGCCAGCAAGGGTCAGAGCATCAGGAATATGTGTGTTTTATAAAAGGTTGGCACCTGACTTGATGGACTTCAGTAGTGGCAGAATTTTAATGACCTGCTTCTTCTGTCTTGTGAGTGTGACTACAGGGTGCTAGATAATCTCATCTAGACTCCCTTTGCCACAAAGACTTGGAGCACATGATCTTTCAAGATCCCTTCCAATCTGGGCTATTCTGTGATTCACTTGAGGCTAGTAAGCCCTATGAGGTAATGAAGTCACTAGTAGGTGTAATTCTGGCTGATAAGTGGCCATGTTATAGTGCTACTGGTTCAGAGTATTCTTTGGAAGGGTGGATCATTTTTCCAACCCCTTTTGAAATACAGCATTTCAAACAAACTAAGATGCCAACATAAACGGTGTTTAAATAACATTAGTCTGAGTAAAAGCCACAAGAGCTGGAGTCTAGAGTTAAAGCTTAAACTGTCCTTAAGTCACCCTGGTTTGTTTTGATATGTTAGAAATCCCCATACAACTGCCTATCTTAGCTCAGTTTTGCAACAGATATGCTCAGTGGATTTGCCTGATTTTTGATACCAAACACTTGTGGAATTCTATTTATCTTAATCTTTATTATACCAACCTATTTTTGTCTGCTGTGTTGTGCAATTGCTCTGAGCATTTAAAATTTCAGCTGTATGTAGAGAGATATATTTGTTCAGAAACTTGAGTTGGTGCTTAAACATTAGCAAATGAAGAAGCAGTTGTTGGGAGTGTGATTTGCATGCTTCTACTGTAGTAAGGGGCTGTTATCTCTAGGGATTTGTGCAGATCACTTCTTAAGGGGGTTACTAAGGTTTATATTGTCGGGTTCTGCTCTGATGAGATAGCTTCATATATCACCCAGGGTTCTCTTCAAGCCTTCCTGGCAGTGAAGAAACACTGAATTGGCCTCCTCAGCTGCTGTAGTCACTGTCTTTTCTCTCTTCATGGATTGTGGTCTAACCACGCAGGCCCCCAATGAATCTAAGCAGTGGTTTTGATTACAGGATGGTGTATAAACGTGTTTCTGTGTATACACCAAAGTCAGCTTGCAAGGAGACTGAAATCTGCAGAAGCTAAATTGCTTCTGTCTAGAGACCAGTAATAAATTTTTTTAGGTGAAAAATAAATATATATGTATATTTTTTAGAGCAACTTGTAAGGACAGTACTGAAGCTGTATGTCAGCCCTAATTTGAGTATAGATATTTTCATACAACTTAGTATATTTTTCTATACCCATAACACTTACTGTGCACAAGCTTTGTAGGTTTTTTACATAATTTCCCCCTCTCCCCATCTTTGATATTCCTGTTCTTTAGGGCATTTTGCTCTAATGCTTCTCTTCTGTGATAAACATCATGTGTTCCTGTGAAGTCTGAAACAGCTGACTCATTCAAAAAAATCTGGTTTTTATCCTTTTAAAAGAGAGATACAACTGGGTCTTCTCACTTCCAGTTGTTTAAAGCAACTGTTCACTTTGTTTTTTTATGAAATTCAAATCATCCTGATTTACAGGGTGATATGCTGCTACAGTGAATGTATCCAGAAAATGTAATTCAAACAAATCACCTACCTTTCTAAGTTCATATTTAAATCTATAAGTTAAGGCATTTTTCTTTGGAACATACATTGGTGGCATAAGATAGTGTTAGTATCTAGAACATACGGCCCCTACATCTTCACACAGGACATGAATATATGAACGATAAGTGGTCCTAACAAGTACCAATAGGAATCAAATCCACTTGTATAAACAAATGGCTTGATTCCATACAAAGCTTTCAGTACAACAAGTATTATTAACTTCCTTTGAGGCTTTGTGAGTGAGCCTGTTTCTTATTTTAACTTCAAGTTGCAATTTTCTGATTCACTCCTTGACAGTTCTTAATGATAATTTCTGCTTCTTTTTTTGGCTAATGAAAAAAGGAAAAGAGGGAAATGAATGCAGTGCCAGTCAGCCTAACTGTTTCATAATACATTTGAGTTTCTAAGTTTATTTTCTGCAGGTGTAGGTGGAATTGCAAAACCCAGTGTTACCGTGCAGTATGCTCTCTACTGCAAAATATTTACAGCACCATTAAAAAAATTAATTTTGTCTCCACTACTACATTGTGATAGTTTCTGTCTCTGTAAATCCCGCAGTATTTGTAATTAAGCTATGACAGTAAACAGTTGTGTCAGACCAAGTTCACAGCAGCATTATGGCAAATGTTAGTGAAGTTTAAATTGTTTCAGAAACCCGTAATATGTGTGAGTTGGTAGTCAAGGATTGCATTGCCTGTGAAATAGAACCCCTGCATTCTTCTTCACTCACCCAGTTTTCTCCAAGAGAATGCCTGCTTTTGCTTGTATAAACTGAAGTCAGTTTAGATCCAAAGTACAGGAAGCTGAAGAATGATTAGTTTGTGATTTTTTTTATTTTTTTTTTAATGTGACAGTGAGGAACTTGCAGAAAAAGACACAGGCTTTTTTTCCCCTTTTTTACACTTAAAAAAAAAAAGAGTGTGTCTTATTCATGTGTGATAACAGGACTAGTAAGCAGTTTGTTGCAACAATATTGCATCTGCTGTGGATTAGTGGAGACAATATTACTACAGTGGTGGTTACCATTACTGTGGTAATCTGCAGGAGATGACAGGAAGAGTTTGTGCATTACGTTGGGGCATGGTAGGAAAGCAGCATTCTTGTATTCTTCTCTGTGCTTCTGAACCTGCAGATATCCAAGTAATTACCTTCAGGCCTGTTTAGTTCAGGTAGATATATTCTATGGAATAAAGAGCAAGCGTAGGTTCTTGAGCAATGTTGCATGTAAATGAAGTTAATTTAAAACTGAATTCTCATATTTTATGCCAACCGAAGAGCATTTGAGAGTAGTGGATAGCAGTGTGGCTTGTATGGATGAGTTTCATGTAGAAATGACCAAAGGAACAAGGTAAGGCAGGAGGTGAATTCTTAGGCATTATTTCTCTTAGCAAAAATTTCCACGACCCCCTTCTTCTAGGGTGCTTGCATTCCCTTCCCATTAGAGCTGAAATGCAGTGCCAGCCTTGCAGGTATATCTCCCATGACCCTATCCCCAGGAGGACAGAACTGTAGACTTTCACCTTGGCATGACTCCAGATATTACAACAGACAGTACTGTTTACTCAAAATGTTTATGGTCAGAATGGTTTCCCTATAACAGTAAGAATGGTAGAACTGAGAGTTCTACGTAAGCCTCCTTTATATTACTATGGTGGGATGTCAGTCTTTCTACTGGTTTGAAGCTGGTGCCTTTCCTGTTTGCCTTTTCTATTGAGAAGATACTGCAAGTAAAGAGGATGATGGTAGGGACAGGTCTTAGAGCTACTAGTAGGAGGTGACATTTTTGGTTTATTTGTTAGTGTTCTATAATGCAGTTGGTCCTGATGGGAGTACTTGGCATGATCGTAAGCAAAATGTTTGCTACTGAGAAAACGATACAGCCACTAGTTATGACCTGTGAAGATCTTTGGGAAATGGAATGTAGCTCAAGTCCTTTACATGACCTCTCTAACTTGTGTCCTAGATTTCGCCGCCAGCTCTCTGAACCTTGCAATTCTTTCCCACCTTTGCCTGCAATGCCAAGGGAAGGACGTCCAATATATCAGCGCCAGATGTCTGAGCCAAACATCCCTTTCCCACCTCAAGGTTTTAAGCAGGAGTACCATGATCCAGTTTATGAACACAACGCTATGGTTGGCAGTGCAGCCAGTCAAAATTTCCCTCCTCCTCTGATGATAAAACAGGAACCTAGAGATTTTGCATATGATTCAGGTAGGTGAGACTCTCCTTTAGTTCTGCACAGTAAAGTAATAAATGGGTCCAAGCCAGTGATATGAATTTTTGATTCTGTGAACTGAAGCTTGCTTCTTTGGCTTTGAACTCTCCCAGGGTAATTATTGTCTGAGACGCCTTACAAAATAGTAAGATTGCTCTATAATACAGTGTGACTTGCACCACCATTATTGCTTTGTAAAGGATTTTATTTTCCAGAACTCTCCATCCAGAAAGTGCACAGGTTAAAGAAGCTGGAAAGAAAAGCATGGGTGCAAAATTGAGCTTTGCTAAAGAGGGGGCTTGTTCTGTACTATCTTGTCTCTGATTTCTGAATTTGTGCACTTCATTTTACAACCTCTTTCTTTTGTCTGCCAGAAATAGAGGACTCTTTCTCCTCTTGCATGCACTACTTTAAATCAGGAGTAACTCCACTGAAGTGGGGTTTATACAGCTATAAAACCAATGAGGGAGAAGAATCGGCCAAATTGGTGTCAGCTTCTCCATTTGTGCATACTGCTATGTTTTGTGGAAGCACATAATCTGTGATGCCAGGTTGCTGATGTAGAGAATACACCGTTACTATTAATAATTTTTGTTATGATTGTGCTTATAGGGCAATTGGAATGGAGCCTTATTGCTCTGGACAGTACAAAACAGAGGAGGTGGTGGTGGAGCCTGTTCTTAGTAGAAATAGAAAGAATAAAAACATAAATCAAGAGAAAAACATTGTAAATGTTGGCCATTTTCTAAACACAATATAAATATTATGCTCAGGAAAAATGGAGAATTAGTGAAGCAAAAAAGTAGTTTAGTAATGTGTATCAAGTAACAACAAGAGGGAAGCTGAAAGGGTGGTATGGTGAGAAGCTGAGATTAAAACAGCATAGAGTGGGCTAGGTGGGGCAAGGAGTTGATCAATATATGAACTAAGCAGATGCAATCAAAATATGTTTTCCAGTTTTGGTATGATTTCTGCAGCTCTTCTTGAGTCCCTGCCTCTGTCTTACTTTGTGTATGCCACAGTGGTGAAAGGAAGGGATTTCAATGAATCTTTGCTTGACTTCTGGAGGGGGGTGCATGGCTTTTTACATATGCATGCGGAGTTGGGCAGGGGGAGTTGGTGGACTTGTCTGACTTCGGTCAGACTCTATTTTTCTGGGTGTTGTAGTACCTGCAGTGCTTTCCTGCTGGTTCAGTCTCTGGCTAGATGTGGTTGCAGTTTATTTCCCACAGGCTGCATGGCAGCTGAGTTGAGATCTTCTTTGAAAGTTTAGCTCATGACAAGCTAACTTGCACTTTGATACAGTGGAGAACTGTTTTTTATCATCTTTTCTGCAGCTAACTTAACATTGCCTACTTAGTGGGGTATTTTGGATTATGATTAATACAAAGTGCTTGGTTTAGTGTTTATCTCTATATTAGAGCAGGGAAATTGGGTAAGTAGAGCAGCTTTCTCCTTTCTTATTCTTGACAAACAAAGAATCAATCCTTAAGTAAGTTTAAGTTAGGCCTGTACAAGGAGGGGACAAGGGCTGAAATATTTCTCCAAGTTGAAATAATAGGACAAGATATAAATGAGTTCAGATTACAAGGATCAGATCTGGAACTCAGACTGTTCATTGATAGTGGTTCTGAGATATGTGGCTTTGGCATTTAGTCTTGCAGAGCAGCATGAGAGAGACTGTCTCCATAGTTGATGTGGCGATGGATAATAAGTGGAGAACAGCAGGTTCAGGCACTGCCAGTCCCTTGCAGCCTTCACAGGCATGGTTATTCATCCTGCTAAATTAATGGCTGAAAAAAGGCCCTTTTGTAAGCATGCTTCATATTTGGCTAGGAAGTGGGATCTCCTTATTGCATATTACTACTTTAAATCTAGGTTGGCTGCTAGCATTCATTTTTCTCTGGAATAATCTTTATGGAAAAAAGCAGGAAATTTTATTCTGAAAGGAACTTATATCCAATCCTGTCATGCCTTTTTTTTTTGTGCCAAGAAGAGCATCATTCCACTTTATAGTAATAAAGTTCAAGCAAAATTATTGTTTCTTTTGTAGATGAATAATTAGTTTTAAAAAATGTAATAGCTGTGTAACCAGTGGTCATGAAAAATTAATCTGTTGGTATCAGGAAGTACTTTTATTGGCCTCAGAATCACTGCATTTAAGTTGACACATCTGTACACTCCGTAAATTGCAGTCAACAACTGTGGTCTGTTGATATTTTGTCTTGTTACCATCTGTTCTCTAGAAACCATCACTTTCCATTCTTGCTAAGAGTGCATTAAATAACCCCTTAGGAAACATAATGTATTTGTCACTGAATCATTGATTTAATTTTTCACCTATGGATGTTCAGGGAAGAAGGAATGCCAGAGTGAAAAGTCTCTTTTGCGTGTATTTTATTGCAGCTCAGATAAGAATATAGAAACATATTTTAAAAGTTCAGTGTAATACACCAAGATATTCCTTGTGGGGTGTTTATGAAAGAGCCCCATAAAAGTTCATTGCTTTTGTGCACTATACTTTTATACTTTGTGGGAAGTTGGTGAATGAAAAGCATTATTATGGAATGATTATAACTCTATTAAAACATGACATTAATTATGACATGGGAAATGGCAGATCAATTAGTTGTAATTGTAATTGCAGGTATGCAATTTCTACTGCAGAATGTTTGAGATAATGGAAAAAGAAAAATGTCAACAAAGTACAAGCTCACCCTTATCCATCCTCACTTCTATAAGTCACAGTGCATCATACATGTTCAATCAGACCTTGTTTTCTGCCATGGAATTTTTTTTTCCATGGATGCCAGTCAGATGCATTTAGAACTTGTCGCTATATCTAGCAACTTTAAGCACAAAGATGCAGCCAAGGCCATAGAGATCTTTGAGATTTTGCATAATTAATGAGTATTGGGAATAATTGTCCAAGGTAACTGGTGGATTCCCCTACGTTGAACAGTTTTAAGACTCAGCATGACAGGGTCCTGGGCCATCTCATTTAAACTATGTTATTACCTAGAAAGGTTTGGCTTGGTGATCCTTGAGGTCCCTTCCAACCTAGCTTTCTAATATTCTATACTCCAGAAGGCTTCCCAAGACCTTTGTTTACAAGTAGCAATAGTGGGCATTCCTTTCCAGTTAGCACTTCTAGAATTCCATTCATATATCAGGGTACTTTGTACAAAAAGGACAAACTTGAGATACCTTACCTATTCTGAGCTTAATTTTTAAGCAGGATCTTTGCAGGCTTGATCCTCCCTACTTAATGTAGTATATTTGCAAATATACTAAGGTGTGACAGTAGCATGTATCAATACTAAAAATCTAGTTTTAAAATGACATGTTAAATTACTACGTTTTAATATCATATTTTGTTTCGGTCAATTAAAATAGTTATTTTCATTGGAAAGTTATTTTGTGACCGTGTCTTTGGGAACTTTGAAACTTTTTAGAGATAAGTAGAGGAGGAATTGTTGCTTGCATATACATATTACTGATGGCAAGCAATTTGTTAATTTGTCTATTGTTATCTAGGTAGATTCAGTCTTTTTTCACAGATGCATTTCAGGGTAGCCTCAGGATTAATACACTTGAATGGACCTTAGAAAACTTTGATTCTCTCCCTGTCATCTCTAAAGTTTTCTTTCAAGATAAAGTCACATCACTTAAAGAATGAACTATCCAGACAGAATTATTAGCCTCCATGTCTTGTTTTCTGATTTGCTCATCCCTTTAATTCCTGAGCTCTCACAAGCAAGAAATATCTTTTGTTGGTATATGAGAATGGCTGGGGAATTGACCCTCTGTTAAAAGAGATGAGTAGAGACAGAGAGGTGTATCAGATATATATACACCTGTTTATTTTGGATACCCAATTAGGACTGTACAATTTTTAAAGAACATTATGTATTACATATGTTCAAAGCTTAGCTCCTAGGGACTTAGTCTTTCTAGATGAGGAAGTATGTGAACATGGGATTAGGATCCCTGCGTAAGGATTACAAAACCAAGAAATGTGTAATATAAAAAATCTGACAGAAGCAATGTGATTTCTTTGGAAAACTTCACTGGGACTGGAATGGGATTGGGGGCATAAAATGAACCATTCAGCTATATTAATATTGAGCTCATCTTTTACTTTTTTGAAGTGTTTTCCTTGTTAAGTACACAACTTCCAGCCTCTCTAAGAAATGAAGCAGGACCTCCACCTACAAAGCTGTGTACAGCATGGGTCTCCCTGAAACAGTTTTGATCTGTGTGCTGAAGAGACAGGAGTGCCAAGGCAAAAGGCTGTATCATAATGCATTTGCAACAAAGGAGTTATATCATGGTTGCCCAGGAAGTTGTAATTATGACACTTCTTAAACTCTTAAGTTTGCTCTTACAAGTGGTTATGTTGGTAGTATACTACCATCCATGTTATAAATGAGTGTTTACCCAATGACTTGCAACAGAATAAAAAACAAGAGCCCTTTCAAATACCTGATGTGTGGTATGCTGTGAATAGCAATGCGAGTAAAAGCAAGCTTTAGGGTTTTAGTAGTACATTCTTCCCTGGAGATCAGCTGACATGTCCTTAAATTTGGGATTTTGCAAACCAGCATAAGAGGATATGTTGAATTAAAATTTCAAGGGGAAAAAAGTAATTCTTAGAAGTAGATTTATTTGCAGATTGCTTTTTTTTTTTGCTTTTTTTTTAAAGAACAGTTGGATCTTCTGTTGTACTTCTTGGAGGTAAAGTTTAGATGGTTGAAGATGCTAGTATGAAGGAAAAAAGGAAACCTTAGCTGTCAGTCAGAATCAGAGCACGTTTGCTTTTTCCAGGATATTCTCTAGTGCATTGACCATTTCAGCATTTAAAATGCCAAAACACATGGTGCTTCTACTACTGTCTTTAATTATATTGGCTAATTTTTGTACAGTGCTTTGAAAATGTAAAGCCCTGCATGAGTGCTAAGTATTGTTACTACAATTATTCCTCTGGGAGATTATT